CACGAACGAAGTGCATTTTCTTCTTTCCGTTTTCTTTCAATTTAAATAACTATCATATATAGAACAATAAAAAGTTACGAAAATTTGTCTTTTGTACGCATGTATTAATTAAATATGTAACATTTGTTATAACAAATTTAACAACTTGCTATATATTCATAGCAATGAGAAATTTCTCTTTTTCCCTTTAACAACAGAAGACACATGCAAACGTTACATCGCATGCATGCTCGTCTATCTTACCACCATGAAATTATAGTGGGTAGGTTAATTGACTAGATTAAATTATAAAGCGATTATGGTTCTCCCAACCGAACTTCATCTACCTAAATCCTCGTTACAATATTTGGGCGATATCCGATGAACAGATTGCCTATTCGTTTCTTTGGATTTTCGCTTCAACAATGGCTTTTGATTATTTAAAACCATATCAGATTTCATTCTACAAAATTTCCATATTATTCTTAATATTCTGATTCTTTTCAAAGAATTAGCATATTTTGCTTGCTCTCATGGATTATACTATTTGTACGATCTATTTCCTTTTCATAAATTAAAAAATTGGATATTCAAGTAAATCCTTTTATAAAATTTAAATTAAAATCATATTCTAGATTTTTTTAATACGTTAGTTTTATTATAGAAATTAATAAATTTGTAATATATATGTAAATAGTTTAAAATAAATTTGGTATAAATATTTCTTATTTTACTTTCCTTTTTTTCTTATTATAAAGAAAAATTTTTTATATTACTCTATTACTATTTAAACATCATAATTTTCTAAAATATTGTTATAATTAATCTATCTGTTTATTATGTTGAACATTTTATATCTTGCGATGTGTTGTTCTAGCTGGAAACTTGCGCTTATTTTTCAGGCCAGCAAGAATTACGGTTGGGCGAGCAGCGGTTGCAGTATTTTATCCGAAATCGGGACAATGCATCTTGAGTTTACCTACTTGAGCGATATAACGAATAATCCAGTGTTCAAGAGCAAAGTTGAAAATGTAAGGAAAGTCTTGAAGAGTCTGGATAAACCAAAGGGTCTATATCCGAATTATATCCATCCAAGAACAGGAAAATGGGGTCAACGTAAGTGATCTCAATAATCTGCGTTATATGTATTTTCTATATTTTTTACCAATATTCGCAAATATGTGTGTGCTTGCGTGCATGCATGCGTGCGCGCGCATGTGTGTGTGTGTGTGTGTGTGTGTGTGGTGTAATATATAGTTCCAGCGCACAAAGATAATTTACTTAGAAAATTATTTATAAATCATTCATTATAAAGGAGTGTATTTTGAAAATGTAGAATATTGTTCTGTCGTTCCTACATACATATCCCATAAATATACGTATCCCTTTCTGCATCATAAATTAATTGCTTTTTTCTCACTATTATTTTCGCGTAGACATGAATGACAACAACGTTTTCATATTCATATTTGCATTTCAAATTCGTGATTTTAAAAATCTCTAAATGTATTCAAGCAGACAATATCAAATCGATATAAATGTATTTGAGGCATTATTATTATTATTACATTTAATAAATCTTTATATGCGTATATTTTGCACAAAATATATTTTTAATCTGATTGTTATCAATCATATCGTGAAAATAGTTTTCGCATAGCTGTAGAGTAGAAAACCCGCACAACTTCAATCGTCCCGCTTTTTTCACTATTTCGTATTGCAAGCATTGGCTCATGTTGCTTCGCGAAAAGATGCTCCGCTGCGGCGTCGGCACCGTCTTCACCATAGCCGATCTTGAATATCGCATTTATCATCCTCTGCCTCGGATCCTAAATCCCTTGCGCCTGTGTACCTTCTTACTGCACGTATGACGAAATCCTTGAGGATATATATCATCCAAACCGTTCAGTATCTAGTCTCATCGCACATTTTTCACTATTTCTTTCTGTTGGAGAGACACTCGTATTATAAGTATACTAAAAAGAAAACGTTGCTCAAATAAATGACATTGACTTTTCAATTAAGACACATTTAAATAAATATATAACAAACCAAAAAATTTTTATATAATTTTTATATAATATTTTTATATAATATGACATGTATTTGATGTAATAACTCTCATTGTTTAATGCAACTTCACTGATAAAATGTATTGTCACAACAATATGTAATTTATTTCGTGAACCTTTATATCTTTGTCAACGAAAATGTCATCATGTTTGATTGAGCACTTTTTTCTTTACGTGTAACAATAAAAATCAATATATTTGAGTTTTTTTAATAACAAGATGTAAAATGAACAAGACGCGTATTGTGCCTTTGCGAATAAAAATCAGTGTTTAAAATGTAACTTGTCAACTTCGAAATCATAATTAACATTCGTTTAACGGAAGTTTAATCTCATATGGCTCTGATCTTCATGTATTTTCACGAGGTAATGTTCTTACTATCCGAGGAAATAGTGAACAGAAAGATAAAGGGAAACTGTACGTCCTTTCATCGTAGATTTCACATAAAGTGAAAACCATGCTTTTAGTTAGCCCAAGGCACCTAGGAATTAACCCAGTAGAAATCAAGAAATGTGCCCTTTGTTTCGCCTTCCTCAAACATGATCGAAGTAGACCTGTAGCGTGGAGAACAAACTCCTCTTTTTCCGGAAAAAGATTCTTCCACATTCCTTTATCTCGCAACAATTACCGTTGCTATCCGTTTTAAAGCGGTATCTCTTTTAAAGCAGTCGCGAACAGCCGTTTTATCTTGCAAAATGAGTCATCCGCAAGTCTTTAATTTCGCTTTAACATGAAAAGAATAGAAAATAAGAGCAAAATTGGTACACTAGAAATTTTTGTCAATGGAAGAAAGCAAATCTTATTATTCATATTCTAAAACATTCTTTAATATAACGCATGACAAAGTATGTGCGCTCGTTTTTAATCTTTTAATCTTTACTTAAAAGAATATTAATATACTCTCTTCAAAATTTAAAATTGAGTTTAATGATTTTTATGAATATTTTATTATTAATACTAATTATTATAAATAAAAATCTTTATTAAATATATCGATACTGATGACAAATTAATATACAGATTACATAAATTTATTTAATAATTAATTATAAATTAACTTCGATAATATTTTAAAAGATGTATGTAGAATTTTTTTTTCTTTAATCTGAAGAAAATATAATAAGATGATATTATAATCCCAAATTCTACTTTTCTTTCATTTTTTTATTCTCTTATTCTTTAATCCAAGTAAAGTTCTTTTTATCAATTTGGAAAGCTTTTTATTCTTTAATCTCTCATAATACAAAAGCTATTAGGTGACATATTTATCTAGAAATTATATCAGAAATTGATTTTGTTAAGAAATTTTTATATAAAAAAGAAAACAGCGGGCCTTGCTTAATAATTTTACAGAGAAATATGTCATGAGCTCTTTTGGAATTCGCATAAAATTTACTTACGACAGAAATTTTTTTATGTGCAGATCATATGTCGCTCGGTGGGCTCGGCGACAGTTTCTATGAATACCTATTGAAAGCTTGGATCCAGTCAGGCAAGGAAGATGTTGAGGCACGTGAAATGTACGACGACGCTATAGCTGCTATAACCCAGCATATGATCAAAACATCCCCTGGTAAACTTGTCTACGTATCGGATTTAAAATACGACAGGCTTGAGCATAAAATGGGTCACTTGGCTTGTTTTGCCGGTAAGTTTTAATTTACATTAATATAATTATCATGATTTTTACAGTATAATAGTCAACCTTGCGCGATGATACTCAAGTACATGCTATAAAATGATCCATTTATAAACACTCCAGTTACTTAGTAACTATCGTTCAAGTTTATGATATTTATAAAATTGTTTAGTCGATTAAAAAGCTTTATCATTATGAAATAGAATTACTTTATGTCTTTATATGAAAAGCTAATTCAACAAAAGAAGTCTTGTCAATGAAATTGTTATTGCATGTTTTGTAGGCGGTATGTTTGCTCTGGGCGCTAAAACTTTAGAAAACGAGGTGTCTGAAAAATACATGAACATCGCCGCTGGTTTGACCAACACGTGTCATGAATCATATGACAGAAGCGCTACGAAACTCGGCCCTGAAGCTTTCCACTTTATCGAAGGCAATGAGGCCAGAAGCTTAAAGAATGGCGAAAAATATTACATTCTACGACCTGAGGTAAGTCCCGCGCTCTCATCCTAAAATAAAACTAGCACAAATTTATAAAATATTACTATCATAGTTACGTTTTTTCTAAAAGTGGAAGAAAGAGAAGGAGAGTTTTCCATACTAGAAAATTATTTTACAAATGTTATACTGCGAAAAAAATATATTGTACATGAATTTAACTTTATTTATAAATAAAATTTTAAATATGGTATAATTTCTTTTTTTTTACTAAATAGAAAATTTAGTTATTTTAATTATTATAAGTTTGTAAATTTATAACAAAAATTATAAAGTACATAGAAAATTGTTTTTTTTTTGTTTTATTCAAGATCGTTTTTTATAAGAAAATCAATATATTTACTGAATAGTAAAACAAAATATACTTCTTTACAGACCTTCGAATCTTACTTCGTAATGTGGCGATTAACAAAGGATCCAAAATATCGCGAATGGGGTTGGGAGGCGGTTCAAGCATTGGAAAAACATTGTCGGGTTCCCGGAGGATTCACGGGACTTAACAATGTTTACCTAGTCGACTCGGCGAAAGACGACGTCCAACAAAGTTACTTCTTTGCTGAGACATTGAAGGTAAAGAGAAACGAAGCATCGTTTCGATTCGATTTACGCTACTTCTCGTAAAAACTGACTTAAATGTTTAATATTTAGACCTTTTCAACAATGACAGCACCTCATAAATTTACATTTAACATAGTGCAGCATAGCAATTTGATTGATATTATTGCATGGAAAGAATGGTTTTACTGAAGTATTACAAAATTTAGCTGTACAAATCTAAAAATCAAATTTTTTTAGGCTATCAAACTAATCGTTAGAATGTCAAAATTTTTTCAACATTATTCATCATGCTTGAGTTTCCTAAAGAATTATTTTGGCAAAGTTGTTCCTTCAACAAAATTATTATTAGATCTATCTAATAGATACAAAATTATTTTTATATCTATCTAAATTTTTAAATACTTTAGCAAAATTGTTTTTTCTTTGCGTAATTACAATTTATTTTCTATTTAATCTATATAAATATTTTTGACATAATATTTTTTAATCAGATTTATAATATATAATATATAATAATATTTATAATATTTTTTTAATTAAAGCATTTATAGAAACAATATGAAATAGATATAATATAACGGTAAAGAAATTTTTCAATAAAGAATATTATTTAATACATGAAATAGGAAGAGAAAAGGAGAATTTAATAAAAATATACGTATATCGTGAAAGTATAATAATAGATATGAAAATATGAAATGTGAAAATATTTTGTTCTTTTTCCAGTATCTTTATTTGCTCTTCAGCGACGACGATCTCATAAGTCTGGACGACTGGGTATTCAACTCCGAGGCTCATGTGCTTCCTATCAAGGGCAATCCTCTGTACCGCCCAGCTCCCTCTTTATAAACCAGACAAGTTCACGACATATTGAACGATACTGACAGTTCTCGTTCGGCAGTGATGGAACCGACAGATATATATACATATGTGTATATATAATATATAATAATATGACGATACACAGTGGATCAAAATTATACAGCGACAGAAGACTTAAGAAATTTATTTCCAATTGACAAAGCGCTTATTTAGCTAATTCTTTCTTTTTATAATATTATATCGATATCATACAAATGTTATTACCATATAAATATTCATTATTACCACACAAATGTTCACTTTACGATATAAAAGATGTTTATTTGTAAATGTTATTATGCGATTTATTTCAATTTTGACCCATTGTGTATATAATAAAATCGCAAATTACTGAAGAGGATAAAGAATTATTATAGTTTTCGCGCTTAGAGCGAATTGATACACATTTTAAATTAAAATAATTATTTTAAGTAAAGAAAAAAGAGAAAAAGTGAAAGAGAGAGAGAGAGAGAGAGAGAGAGAGAGAGAGAGCGAGAAAATTGAGAGTGAGAAAAAGCAGAATGAAAATATTATTAACGAACGTTATTTAAGCCACACGTTTGTAAATAGCAAAAATAAAGAAAGTGAGAATGTGAGAGAATGAACGAGAGAGCTATGAAAATAGAAAAATATATTGCGAGAATGTGAATGCTTCGCCCATTTCCTTTTTCAGCCGCAGCGCCAAGCGATCTACTTCACACTTAAATGTATATTTGTAACATTAACATTTTTAATATTCTCTAACAATCACGGCAGGGTAATCGATGATTCATTGGCATTCCTTTCTTTTTCATCAATAGTTACTCTGGAGATATATAACTCTCCAAAAGCAGAACTCTGAAAAAGCATTATTAAGAAAATCTTAATAATTGTGGAATATTTTATCATATAAGACATAGAGTAAATTAATGTATCAAATTGTTAATGACACCTATTTAGTAGTTTCTGTGAGAATGTCTCTATTTTTTCAAATGTTAAGTTTTGATCGCGTACGAATTCAGTGTATTAATTGAAACTATGTGTGAACTGCTTTTATATAGCCGAATGAGAATAAATTTTTCGTCGATACCAAGCATCAATATAAACTTGTTTTGTAAAACTTTGAAAATAAAACTGTCAGTCAATCAAAAAAAAATAAAAAAATAAAAAGAAGAGAGGAAAATAGCGATAAATCGTCGAACCATCGTTTAAAAAAAAGTCCCATACAACGTTTTGTAACACTAACGCTTAACGCGTCTCTTTCCCCGTTTTTTATCGATATTCCTCAAAAAGATTTTGACTATCCAACAATTTTGCTATCGAGTCCAATCTCTCCCAACCTCCTGAATTTTTTAACAAAGGAAGAAAGGAGAAAGTATACAAACCAAACTGTCATTCTCACGATTGTGGTGCGAGCGTGCGTGCTTTTTGTATGGTGTGCTAATCGAAGTAGAATGAAATAAAAAGGAAATCTGAAAAAGGTGTAGACCGAATGTACGAATGCGGTCGCGCGTTTGCAACGACGGCGATCATCATTGCAAGTCAAATATCGTAGTTGTAAAACAGTTAACTAGCAAACAATTAACTAGCAAAGTCTATAATGAGAGGTAGAGACGTGTACATAAAGATTACAAGAAAGTCATATTCTATACGAAGAGTGCGAGATACAGAATGAGATTGTAGAAGAAACACCATATAATTGTATAGCGCTTATACCAATTGTAAGAATTGATTCGTCCAAATTGGATTTTACAATATCCAATGAGAAACAATTATATACAAACAGTAACATATATCTCAAAGACACGTATTTTCGTGTTCAGGATCAAACTTACAATTGTAATTACAGTTAAAGGAACTTCTTTTCAGTAATATCAATCATGATCAACAATCGCAAAGAGACTCTGACTTTTTATAAGTCTATCTCGTGAATGAGCTTTTGTAAAACATTTTTCTTCAATAAATTTGACCCTGATGGTGTCTCTTATTGAATTTCCGAACAATCAGCATCGCACTTATCGATGATGAGAACGGCCGGAAAGTTACTTAATGTATAGTACAGAGCTGTCGCGCAGTTTTCTGATAAGATGAGGTTCCAAAGGCGAAACTTCGAAACATCATCTTCAAACGCAAAATAGAAAACACACACACACGCACACACAAACAAACGAACAAACAAACAAACAAATAAACAAACACAGATAGACAGACAAACAAATAGGAAGATTTATATTATGAGATACATACACGCACATAAACCGCGCGGCGTAACCGTTCACTCTTACGCGTCCGAATGAAGCAAAATGGTTAGATGCGTGATTATACATTGAATTTTAAAGTGACAGTTAATAATAATCATATTATTTTCGTTTTTTATGTTAGATTGCGTCGATCTTCAAGAGGTTCTACCTATGATGTTTGTTAGATGTCAATACCGTTTTATCAAGCATTTATATTAAGAGATTTAGAGAAGTGTTACACCAATAATCAACATTAATCGTTGAAATGATTAAATCTTTATTTTACTATTGCAATTAACAATGTAATTCAGGAAAGATCTACAATTAAATGACATTTGTTTAAAATAATAATATATTTTACATTTTATGTGTGCTTAAACTATTATTTTTATATATTGATTATTATAGATGACTAATTAACTATTGGTGTAACTCGCTCAAAATGATTCGCAAATAAATATATGATATCTCTATCCGAGAAGATTATAGAGAAAATTCATTTTGTAACACAAGGTTTATTTGATATTATAGATAATCATTTATTGATAATAACTAAAACGAATTGTTAACAATTAGATTTTATGGTGAACTTTGATAGTTACTCATAATGGATGTTCATAGTCACAAGTGACTATCGTCTCAATACGTTTTCTTAAAATTCAATTCTTAAAATTTCACCATAAAATCTCGCAAACTTCCGGTCCCCACATTAATAACACACAGATACAGTAAGCCGTAGATGGTGTGTATATAAAAATAGTGATAATGACATCGAGAATGATAGCGAGAATGACAGTGTCCGGCGATGATGATGATAGTAATAATAATAGCCTATACATTTGTGAATAGATATTTAATAATTTATTGTTACTAGAGTATTTTACTTGGACTACTTCACTGAACGGGGTTTTGGGTACAATAATCTTTTCTTGTGGCAGTGATGGCGCTTACAATTTGTTTATTTGAATGATAACAAGAGAAATGGAAAAAAACAAAACTTTATTAGCTTTACTCGCTTGATCTTTGAACGATAAGCGATTGTGCGCCAGACGAAATATATATATATATATATATATATGTACATATATATTGGATATGATATATATATATATA